AATATATATGAAGCACTCGCCCGCGGCGTGATATGCCTCTCTCATCAGGCAATGCGCGAAAAACACACGCTGCCTTTTTGGCGCCGTGAATAAAGAGATGCCAGCGCACACAAACCGACGGCGTATTACAGGTACGCTGACGAACTTATCGTCCATCACAGCTATTTTGATTAAATGATGCGTGTGCGGAACGCATTAGTGGAGTATTAACTGTGACAACTTCATATTTTTGCGAAGGGGTTCTAACCCAAAATCTCGCGAGCGGTATAGCCCGTGAAATCGATCCATTTAGGCATAAATGTGCATGTCATGCGCAAAATAACAGCGATTATGGCTTGGAAGGTATTTTATATGAATTTTGAAATTGGGCGAGCGTGATTGAGCGCTATACGCCGCACCTCGGGGCATTCACATTCTCGAAAGTGACTGGACAATCACCCTCCCCCCCCCTTCTTGCTTGACGTCACCACGCTGCAGCCGGATACAAGTTATGATGACGTCATAGTCGCCCCTACTCTTCTGCCGCTTTTGCGCCAGAGGACTACAATTTCTGACCGCGAGTTCATGGATATGAAAATTTGCATTTTACCTGTGCTTTTTTTTTTCTTCATTTCCAGGGGTTTACTCACCAAAACGAAGACGTGATTATAAGTCGTGCCATGGTGGAGCAATCCGAAAATTCTTGATTACGTGGATTTCGTTAACGTGTAAATTCACTGAATAATGATAGCCGCACAACGCAGTAGACAAAAACAAAAAGAAAGACGAGCGAAAGGAGAGCCGGGATATTGGCTGGGGTGGAGGAAGAATCTCGGCTGTGCTGGAATGAAATGTGTCAGATGCGGTCTTCATATACGGCAAAGTACACCTCAAATTCGACAGTTCCCCACGGCATGTAGAGAAGGGTGTTTCAGCTTCACCAACTGTTGAGCTAACTGTGGCATTTGTGATTTTTGGTGGACCATCGGAGAGTGCAGGATATACGCAACTTTTGAGGCGCATACACCAGTTTATGGTGGGCCATGACTACATTAGAGCCGACAAGCAGAGATCCCAAGGTACTTCGTTATATCATGGTCACGTCATGAATGCGTCACAAATTTTGTCGACCATGTGTCGTCATGGTGGGATGACGTCATCATGCGAAGTTAACCTCATGATGGACCGTGACATGGCACACCATGACGACAGGAAGCGCCGACAAGCCGATCGCCTAAGTTGGGATTTTTATGATTTGCAACCATGATAGAACAACACACAACCGAAAAGACGGATTCAAATATGCGGGTGCGCTTTGCCATTCACGAAGTACACTGCAAGGATGCGGCACAAACTGCGGCACAACGCTGCGACAGAGGCCCACGTGGTACACCGCGGCAGAGAGTTGTTAAAGGGACACCAGAGAGGAACAATGATTTGGTTTAGAGAGAGAGAATTTATTTACAGAAAGGTAGAGAGGTCGGCCTGAGCTATAGTTTGCGCCGGCCTGCTACTCTACACTGGGGAAGCATGACTGGGGAGTGAAAGAGTGATGAATCACGATGGTAAGGTAGAGAGATGATATGTTCTTATTAGGCTGGGTAACTCTACAGACGTGGATCCAGTCCAGTGGCTTCTAAGAAAGCGATGACGGCTCGTATAACCACACGTGCGCTGCCGGCGTCAGGCCAAGGACCTAACACAACCTCATCGGTTAATGGTCGACTAATATGTCGGCCAATCGAAGGTATCAGTTGCGAACGTTCGCTCGCATATGCTGGACAGTCGCAAAATACATGTTCGAGCGTTTCTGGCAACCGACAGTGACCACAATTGGGACCTGTGTCATTACAGCCAATCAAGTGGGTGTAACGACTCGTGTAAGCCACACCGAGGCGAATGCGGTGGATAATGCATAAGATGTTTCGCTTGAACTTGTGAGGCATACGGAACTTCAATGATTTGGTTTAGGTTTACAAACTGCACTCTGAGAACTCTAATGAAGTACGTTTTACTATCATAAGTTCATTATTAGAGAAGAAAGAATCAAGGTCAATGTTTCATGTTTAAATTTCGCGCCAAAATCTCCGCGCGTGACGTGTATTTTCGGTACATTCCGTGACATTAACCCAATGAAGTTTTCTGAAACGTTCGTACGCTAAGTCTATGGCACCTGCAGGGTTACAATGTATCTCATTTTTATCGATTGGAAGCAACGTAGGACTCGAGAAGACGCCTTCATAATGTCTCACGTCACGGTTGTTGCTTCGGGAATATAAAGAACTTTATTTTAGCGCGTTTTATCGCTCATACTAAGCGTCTGTGTCGCAGTAAGGGTGGTGTTTCGCGGCATCGTGAGATTGTACTTTACTAATGCGCGAAAAAATCGTCTTGCTCTTGAGTGTCCCTTCGAGACGACGCAGAATCGTTCTCACGAAGACGCACATCCTAGTCCGTATACAATGGCGGCGGCAAACGAGGCTCGTTACTAGACCCGCGCGGAGATCCGGATTCCAGATACGCGGCAATTTCACGTCTGCATACACCACCACCGATCGTTCTCAGGCGATAACCGCCCGCCGTGCCGTTCGCCGTGAATGAACCTTCCCGCTGCTTGTTCTTCAGCGACGCGCTCAAGGAAACAACCGCTGAATGGCCGTTTTTTTCTGTCATGAGCCTGGTCAGAAGTGTTACGCACGGGCTTTGGAGAGGGCCTCCCTCGAAATACGTTCGTGAGTACACGCCTGTAGCATAACACACAAGATGTGAAAAAGAAAAGAAGAAAGAACACAGTAGCGCTACGGCACTGTCGATTGATTGATATGTGGGGTTTAACGTTTCAAAACCACCATATGCTTATGAGAGACGCCGTAGTGGAGGACTCCGGAAATTTCGACCACCTGGGGTTCTTTAACGTGCACCCGAATCTGAGTACACGGGCCTACAGCATTTTCGCCTCCATCGGAAATGCAGCCGGGATTCGATCCCGCGACCTGCGGGTCAGCAGCCGAGTACCTTAGCCACCAGACCACGCAGCACAGTTCTTTACCGTAAAAAGCTCGCTATAGATTTCAAGTTGGGCCAAGTTTATAAACTTCGCTGAAGGGTCACAAAATAAAATCGCTGAAGGGAAGAAAAATATTGGCACAGTAGTTTACCGATTCACTACAGTACATACAATACTACATCCGTGACTTAAAAACCGCCAATCACCCGGATGAAATGAAATGCGCAATCACGCATGCCAAAGGGTTCACGTTCCAAGTGAAGCAGATTTCTCTGCCATGATGTGGTCAACTTATGTCAGGGTTGCATCAATCTCGGTTCAACAAAATCGGAACGGAACAGAACCGCAGCAGCTCGAGGTCACGTGACTTGGACGGGAACATCAACTACGACGTTACTCGTAGAGCGACACGCCGCTGTCGACTCCGAAATATCTTGGGTTTTACGTCCACAAAACCACGATATGATTTTGAGAGAGCCATAGTAGAAGGCTTCAGAAATTTCGACCAAATGGTGTTCTTTAACGCCCACTGACATGGCACAGTACACGAGCTTCCATCGAAATGGGACCGCCGCTGCCGGGATCGAACTCGCGACCTTCGGGCCAGCAGCAACTTACAAGCACGCATCGTAACCACTGTTCCACCAAAACGGACAGAAGCGCAATGCGATACTGGGGGAAAACGGGGTGACTACTGACAAAATAGAGACACTTTCGCAACGCCAAGGAAAACCCTATGGTGTTCCGCGCCTAATATGTATGGCACGTGTCTGCCAAAGAACCTCGTCTATGCTCACGTAAGGTGACCCTGGGCTATTCAAGCGCAAATACAGGGAACTTATTGTTAATGGTAAGCGCCACTTGGCTTTAACCTTAACGCAATTTGATTATTCCTTTTTTTTTTTTCATTCCGATCTTCGAATCGACAGTCCTCACAATGCTCCGCCAAACTGTCCCGACGTAATCGCGTTCAAATAATTCGCAAGTCCACACACCATCCGAACATCGATACAGAGCGACAACACTAACAACTACATCGTCGTTTTCACTGCGAGATACTGCAATGAAAACGGAAATGCGAACGAGCGAAACGCGTGCGGGCGAAAAAAAACTGGCACCCGATTCTGCGAGGGCTGCGCAAGAGCGGTCTATTCGGGTCATGAGAACAGAGTTATGTCCACTGTGAGGATTTCAATTTCGTTCTGAGTCGCTATAAACTCGCTAGCGCTACCGGCAGCGTCGGTCACGGGTCAAATAGTGCCGTTTACGATGGTCGTCGAATAAATGTCACATTTCCTTTCTTTTTGATGTAACCACGCATAGCTGCTTTCCAGGTTAAAATTACACAAAATAATGGCAGCAACTAATTCATCCTGGCGTATCTAGCCGGCGCAGTCGGGTGTGAGAACTCACATTCTCTTAACACTAAATTATTCATTCCGAGAACGAAACTTGAGAATAATCATCGGGGACACAGCCACCTGTCGCCAGGGTAACCGCGCGACGAGACGTCAACATTCGATGTCCCGTCAAGGTGCCAACGAACTTCGCAGGAGCCTACGACCAGATTTAGGACCCCCACGGACTCTCAGGCGGCGGCTTGAATGGCTAAAATTAGCGAACACCGAGTGAAAGCAGACTGTTCCGCCCCGGGGATGCCCGAGGAGCTTTTTGAAGCAGCGTGTGGGCGGGTTTCTGAATCGTGACCGGTGCGTCCTATCTCTCGAGGGACCACACTATTTCGTGTCCCAAGTAACGAGTCTTGATTAATAACTACACAACACAGCGGCAACACATCGCGGTCTAAACGATAGCCGAAGGGTCGCCTTCCATAGCAGTCGCGCGAGTTCGGAACTATCTAATGCTCATTCTGATACCGTTGCAGGTAAGGCATCCACTACTTACGGTTAGTTCGGAACACATCGTAGCATAGTAGTGCCGCAAGCCGCGCCGGCTAGCGCGATCGAAGAAGCTACTTGGAAGGAAAAAAAAAAAAAAAACTCGTTCCACTCACCGTATTCTACGAAGTTGGTCATGGTCTTCTCCTTGCGAAGCGACGAGTTGCAGCACTCGTCGTAGAGCACAATTAGCACGTCCAGTAGGACCTTCGACGGTGAACGCTTTTCCGCTGACCAGCACCGGTCCGCCCAGGAACATCTGTTCCAACTCGCGGATCCGGTCGTCCGGACAGCGCGTGTCCGTTCGCTTGGACATCGCGGCAATCACCGGCGACGCTCCAAACTCGAAGTAGCTCTGTCTAGGCTCGGCGGATGATCGCTTATCCGAATCATGCGAAACGCCGTGACGCCCCGACTGTGCGCAGTGGGACTCGTACGACAAACACTCGACGTTGTCCACCCGGAGACGCTGGCATACCGGAGACGGTCACAAGATCGTAGCTCACGCACAGTTCGTGTGACGCCGACACGACATGGCGCGTTCGATCGAGCACCGCGGCAACTATCCGTCACGACGCACACACCGCGCACACACTACGCACAATAAAGCACACACAGAAGAGAAACCGCACTTTACACCCGCTTAGGCTTAGTTGACGCCGCACGCAGGAACCGAGCGCCTGCGAGGTGTGGGCAGCGTAAACGAGATGACTCGTTTGTGCTGCTGTAACTGTTTTTCGCGGAGCGCGTAGACCCGCGCCGATGGCCAGGAAATGAACTCGCGCTCATAAAACTGAAAGTGCGAGCTCGCCTACGCAGTAATAAAAGTAACAGATCCAACGAAGCAGCGGCTAAAATTAAAAAGAGAAATTCCTACTGCTAAACCTGTCACGCTACAGCGTACTCGCTCGCAGATCCGCTGCTTCCCATCCGCATACTCCGCCAATGGCGGATCTGTCGCGAAGAATTTCGGGATTGTGAGCTTCGAAAAATCACCGACAGAGAACGCTACTACCAAAAACGAAACTGAAAATGTTTCAGTTTATAAAACAAACATTAGGACACGTTTCTATATATAAAATGATTATAAATGAGATAATTTTATAAATAAACATTACACTTGCAAAGTTTAGCGTTTTCGCTAATTGCAACTTCAAAAAAACAAAACAAAGAACTAATAGGTTTATAAGCGCGCTTGATTTAAACTTCGCAACGCCGTTTGGTTATCGAATGCCATGCTTGATCACGACATAACGGAACTAGGTCGTGACATAAACCGCCGTTATGGTAACACCCGTCGTTTCACTGAGATGTCGGATAAACATTTAGTATTGAAGGAGAAGTTACCCAAGCGGTGCGATTACAGAACGTAGAAATGCGTCCGGTCAGCAGTAACACAACACGACACTTGTCCCGTCCTCTGTCGTTTAATGTCAGCTGTGCTTTGCTAAAGGATTAATTGGTAAGCTAGTTGGTACTTCGTATTCGTTCAACGAACGTGCAGCGCGGGAACAGGTGGCGGACGAGGAATAACCACACAACACGAGCATGCGAGAGTTTGGGCACAACAGCAGCTCGTGTTAGTAGAGAACAGTGCACATGTGTGGAACATAAAGAAACGGCGAAGCATGTTCAGATTGAGCGTGAAAATATCCACCCAGACGTACGTTTGAGCGCGAGCATACATTGAGCCTTGGTTTTTACGGACAACAATGGAAAGCTTAACACTCCCGCGATATAAATAAGTAAGAAATGGCAGAAAACTACAAAGAAAGGACAACAATATGCAGTAAAAAAAAAAAGAGGGCATTCTGTCGTAAGAACTGGGAAGTTCCCTTCCGGCTATTGCTTTTGTGGTTTTTTTATTGCAAGATATAATAAACTAAAGTGGAAGAGTCAGGCCAACTTAAAAAGAAGGGGGGGGGGGGGATATCTGTCAAGCATGGTGGCACACTTGTCACCACCCCATTATGAAGGGGACGCTCATAGATAGCACCCATCCATCTATCCGCTTCCTTTTCTGCTGTCTGTTCCCATGCTCTCAGTTTTCTGAACAAATGCCAACTGTACAGAAACACAGCAGAAGTTGTGAGAGTAAACTGTGCAGTGATCACCAGCAGTCGGCAGTGAAAGATCCAAGTTTTTTTTTTTTACGCAACGTTGCTTCATATCAATCTGTGGCAGAAATCACGATACCTTCCAAGTAATAACTCTTGGATAAGTAATGCACTTAAATTAATCCTCCACAAAAATTATGCGACAAATACTTTTGTGATGTTTTTGCAAGCTCTTTCTGCAGGTGTGAAAGAAGCGTTATACATTGTGTATGAAACACAACATAGCAAGCTTCAATTTTTCCATAAATAAGCACCGTAAGATTCCGAGCAGACATATATGAGCCTGCCAACACAGTGCTCATACTTGATGCGTGGCTTACTCAAACCCGCTGAAAACTAATACATCAAGAACTTTTTTTACGTGAAAAGCTAGTATTATAATCACCTTGACATTTAGACACTATTGTGCAATTTTATGTATGATAAACTTTGCTGTATAGCCTGCTGTTTTACTAGTGAACGTTACAAAAACACGGGCCTCCTTCACAAATAGCGGACCTTGCACAAACATGCACGCAAACAAGGAATGCAAAGACCACATTTTTCACAAAACAAACATTTTACTTATGCTTTTTAAGGCTGTAAAAAGCAAAAATAAAATACAAAACATATCACAAGTCTGAAACAAGTTGTATCCAAGTCTCGAGTTTCATCTTTAGTTCAGTACAGCGCTCGTCATCTACTTTATCAATAAAGTGCATAAGACGCCGAAGCACTTGGATCTGTTTTGGAAATATGCAGTCTGGAGCAACTGCACTGAATTCCAGGAGGCATGCTTTGCACAGCTCTACTTCTTCTTCCAACACTGACTTCGACAAGTCATCTTTACTTTCATCGCTTGACGTTCCAGAGCTCTTGTTCATTTGTAGTTCTGACCTCCAAAGAAGCAAATTCTTCTCAGCTGCAGCAATTTTGTGGGTCATGTGCTCCAAGCAGGCAATGGTGGGGGACAACACCAATGAGGAAATACCTTGCACCAAAGAGCTGCATACACTTGAAGAATCTAACCGATCACACACATCTAAAATTACATCACAAAGATATAGCAACAACACCTCCCTAGTTGGGCCTAGAACTGTATTGGTGTCAGCTGTCAACTTGTTCAACATAGACCAAAGGTTCTGGCACAAAGGTGGACAAACGAAACTTTTAACTCCGACGCCAGTGGCTACATCCAGTTCGTCAAAAAGTGCACAACGACTGGGATCAATGTTCACATTTACTTCTCCGGTAAATGTGCTGTCAGTCACTTTACCACAAAAGAGGAGCGAGCACAGGTTAGCAAACAGCTTGCGATTGTACGAGTAGGCTGCCGACAGTGCCCGAGCAAAGTAAAGCATCCACTCGTCCGGGTTGAAGAGTGCAACTGCCAGGCAGCCAGCCACATGAAACAAGACGTGCTCCTTTGTCTCGTGCAAAAGTACCGTCTTTGTCGCATGCTCACCGTAACCAAGCAGCTCACTTAGCTCTGTAAAGCCGAGTGTGCCAACTAAAGGCCGGTATCCATTGCTTTCACAGGCTACCACTATGGAGGACAGGAAAGTTGCTGCAGTGTTCTTGCGACTGCTCCACAATACTCTGCAAGTGCTGTCTTCAGTCTCGACAGTGTCTCCTTTTTCTCGGCTAATTTCATCCATAGCCTCAATGAGAGCTTTGTGCAAGTGAATAAAAGTTGCAAATGCCCGGCTCCTCTCTTGCTCCTCAACAAAACGGACTGCTTGATCCCATTCGTTGTTGATCAGTGAAGACTGCAGTGCTGCCTGAAAAGTGATGTCCGTCTCCGCTAACAGCCCGGTCTTTCTGGCTATGAAGGCAGCTGATCTGAGAGTATGGGGGTTTTTTCTGTTCATCATTACAGCCACCGCTTTGCCAACATCCCCAATGGCAAGGTAACACTTGGCCGCCTGCTCAAAGTTGCCAACTCCTGCTGCTCTCTCGGCCCATGACGCGTATATCTTTTCAACCAGAGGATCATCTTCCGGAAGGTGTGCCCTAGCAATAACGAGGGCTTCACGGTGCAGACCATTTTCGCAAAGGAAACTCACCGCTTTTTCCACCTTGTGGCAGGCCAGATAATACAGCACAGCACGATGGTGTTCTCCTTCACTCACTAACTGAGCAGCATATCGCTCGCACATTTCAAGCCATACATTTCTGGACAATGAAGGTGCTTGGGCTACCAGGCTGTCAGTGAGCCGCCGCTCTGCCGCCGCCTCTCGCAGAGCTGTGGCAAGGTCCCCTTTCCAGGCCATCATCTGAAATGCGTAGTCGAAATTGTGCTCCTGCTTGTGGTGTCGAACCTCCTTGTCCAGAACGGACAGAGCACCAGAAGCACATGTGTACATACCAAGGTGGCTATGCTCAGAGTCAAGTTCGGTGGGACCTTCTTTGCGCTTTGCTAATACATCAGTCAGATAGAGAGCATCGTCCGAGCGATTTTCTTTGGGCAGATTCTCGAGCTGAGAAAAACATGGAAAGTACGACTTCATGGTCTTGGACTTTTTTTTCAATCCACTCCCTGAGAAAGCCTTGCCTGAAGGAACTGTGCCAGCAGAGGTTTGGCTCCGTGCACCAGCTGTCTCCGTAGCACTATTGTGTCCACTAGTGGCAACATCACCATTGACACGCACTTCACCTGCACTGCTGGCTTGGTCAGAAACTTTTGCAGAGCTGCTGTTTCCATCATCCACCTTGGCTTTGGAGACTTTCTGAGGCTTTACAGGCTGCTCAGAAAGCTTCCAACATCTGACAATGTTGTCTTCCCCACCACTGAAAAGAACATCTGAATCAACAGGGCTCCAGCAAACACTAAATACACGCCGCCTGTGGCCTTGATATGTTGCGACAAGTTGGGCTTTGTCCACATCCCAAACCTGTACCGTTTGATCAAACGAAGCAGATGCCAGCAAATTTTCCCGAAAGGGGCTCCACGCAAGCGACACAATTTTACTATTCTGTCCAGAAAACTGCAAAGTGGGCTGGAGAATTCGGTGAACGTTGGGGCTGGGTTTTTCGAGTCGACTCAAGTCAAAGACAGATATTCTGCCATCAGTGGATGAAAACGCAAGCCAGTACATTAGGCGGCTGTTACAGTCAGAAAATGGTGCCTTAGCTGGATGCCATGCAAGACAGTCTGCCGGTTTTCTCTGCACTTCGATGAGGGCAACTTTCTTTAAGAGTGGGCCTCCATAACTCTTGAAAAGTTCTACGGGTCCATCAGAAAGAGAAAGGGTGAGGATGCCAAGCTCCTGGTTGAAAGCTACACACACCCGTTTGGTAGGTGTCTTTTTTTGGGCAGGGCTAAACAAAATAGTCTCAATGTCAGCAGCATCTCTGTCAAGCTTCGAAAGCCTATGAATTTTAACCCTGCTAGAATCGCACGAGAGCAAACATGTCTCAGGGGATGCTCCTTCGCTTAGGACAAGGTCGGCCCAGCAAACAACGTAAGTCGTATCTTTGTGAAAGGCCTTCGACACAGTGACCTGACGCGTATTAACGTCTGCCACGCAGACTTTTCCTTCTTCAGTACCCAGCGCCAGGATGGCTTCTTTTCTGGGATGCCAGGCGACTGTGCGGACTCTGTCTTTCTTTCCCACGGTAAGAACCTTGGCGCTGTAGGGGTTTGCGGCGCAGTCCGTCCGCCAAACCTTGATGCTACTATCGCCCGAACCAACAGCCAATGTGGCGCAGGCAAAGGGTGAAAATGTGAGGCAGTAGACAAAACCCCCGACACATGGAATGCAGTACGCAGACTTTTGGTGGCCAGATCCCAAAAGATGATGTTTCTGTCTTCCGACGCAGACACGGCGTACATATTCATTCCTTCCTTGGCATCCCCAACAATGCACACATTGTACACTGCTGCACTGTGCCCTCCAGAGTCTTCATCCCAGTCAAGAAAAGTCCATTCATTTGCTGTCGCTGCGTTCGGGTTACAAATACACATATATCCAGCGACCGATGAGGCAACAATTTGCTCTCCGCCCGGAATCCAGCAGGCAGCTACCCATTTGTCCCGAACGTCTACACTTTTGCCCCCCTTTTTGGATAATGGGACTTTGAGCGACGTCAAGAGCTTCTCCCCAGCCACATCCCAGACCTTAAGAGTGCGATCGAACGCTGTCGAACACAGGCGAAGTGGCTGGAGCGACGAATCCTCACCGAGGAGGACGTTCCACGATAACGAGAGCACCATCATGCTGTGTCCCTTAAGTTTGTAAAGGACGTTGCTTCCATTCTTCAGTCCTTGGACGACGATGGTGCCACTGTAGTAACCCACTGCGACGAGGTCCGGGTCGGTCGGATGAGAGCGCAGAATGGTGATCTCTTTCTCCTGCGACCGGCAGCCCGCAGGCGAGACGGCACCAGTGACGAGGTTCCACTTGAGCAACGCGCCATCTTTGCCGCTGAACACCACGGATGTGGACAGGTTGCCTCTCCAGTCGGCGTGGCACGCGGGCGACTGCGAGGACGAGGTGTGCTTGACTGCTCGCGCGTCTGACGTCCCACACTTGCACCAGGCCGTCACTGGTGGCGGTCAGCAACGCGGGCACCTCGTCGGGATCGGCGCGTTCGCTGCGACAGAACGCGACGGAAGCGACAGTTTCCGTACTTGGCGCTGCCACTGTCAGATATTCTCTCAACACGGGTGAACCATTTCGGGCATCGAGCACGACGACCGCGTGTCGCGCCGCGTAGCAGTAGAAACCGGCGTCGCAGCCCTCCGTTGCGTGTGGTTTGTACCAGTTCGGTGCCGGGGGCAAGCACACCATTGTCCCGGTAGCCTGGTCCATTGCTCCGTTTGACTATTTAAGTTTGCGAAGCGCTGATAATAAAGCTCTCTTTCACGGCTCGTTCTCTAGAACTAGGCCACTTTTACAGTAACAATGATGCTCTTACGCTTTGCTAGCATTGTGCCACCGCTCGATTAAGCCGCCATATTTTATGGTCCATGTGATCTGTATTGCAGCAAGGAAAAGGTGGTGGTTGTGTCTAGCGTCTTTCATTTCGCACATGCTTCCGCCACATGCAGCTAGTAGAACTATGGCCTTGAAGATTGGTGTAGTTCGTGTAGCCATGAGTGTGGCTCGCGCTGAAGCTTCAATCAGAGCGTTAAACTTAAATATAACAATTATATTTTTTACATATTTTGCATATATATACACAAATGGCTTTTTAAGATTGTATTTGCAAAATATTTGGGTAATGGCTGAATTTAGGTGCATGTCATAGAGGAAGGAATAAACTGTGTTATAAACTGCACATGGAGGATCTTGTTGGGCAAGACTGATAGTAAACGAAAGTACAACAACAACAACAAAAATATTGTCTGCGCAGGAGAGTAGACAGAGAATTTTCCAGGGCGGAGGGGGAGGGGGGTTATAGTTGAATATGGAGTGTATTGTGGTTATAAGAGGGAAAAGAAGAGAAAAGTGAGCCCCGTAACTGTCTGCATCAGGGTGCGACACCTCAACAGTACAGTTAGCTCGCAAGGGATGTGGGTGAGGAGGGATTAAAAGGATAGGGAGTGTACAATGGCTGGGATAAACCTTGCAGTGGCATATATAATGCCCTTTTGCCATCTTGTCAAATTTTGTTCGTAGAAGCTCACTTGGCCAATTAGCATCGACCAATGGCGGAATCTGACAGCGCGGCGGAATTCGACATGTCCAGAATAGCACCCATGGTCAAAAGTCTTTTGACCCCCTTACCCTGCACGCACGTGTGCGTACATAATAAAGTTGAGGAACATAAATATCTGGGTGCACTCACTTCTGATCTTAAGTGGGACAGACACAGCGTTAATTAAACTTCGAAAGCATTATGCAAACAATTTTTTTTTATAAAACGAAGTCTAGCACTCTCAACGATATCGCTGGCATGCTACGGGGGAAGGCACGGAGGAAGGAAAAAAACCTTCCTCCGTGGGGGAAGGGGACTGATAGATTTCAGCAGGGAGAAAAGAAAGATTTAAAGAAAAAAAAAAGTCAGCTAGAGTGACTTCCCGAATACACCCTCTCTTCTTATTGTGTAACAAATAATGGTGTATTTGGGGAGTAGATTTGCCACGCAATAATAATCGTCATGTGACCACAGAACACCTATGTATGACTTGCTCGCGTTTTTTTTTTTTTTTTTCCTTGAAAACCGGGCAGGTGTTCTGTCACCGGCCGCTAGCCACTTTCCTGTCAAGACTGCTATATGCCACGTTGATAACGCGCCCGCCGTTCGTGACCGTGAACCATAGAGTCTGCATGTTAACTCTATGCCGTGAACAACGGTGGTGATAACGCAAGGAAAGTACGCGATGTAGATGACGATTATTGTTGCGTGGCAGAGAATCACTACCGAAATGCTCGATTTCTTTAATTTTTTTAGAGTGTTAATTTGAAAAAGTAAGTATTTGGAGAGTATTTTTGCCACACAACCTGACCCACGCAACGATTAGCTTTCTCACTTTTTCTTTCTTGAAAAACTCCATTCTCGCCAGTTTGCTATCAATAATGGTATGAGTGCCTCGCATCGAGACACCCTGATAATGTTACCAGTTCGACAGCGCGTACATCATTCGGGATCGAGAAGTGCCGGGACCACAGTGACGTACGGCGCAAGGAAAAACGCGAGGTAGATGCAATAGCCCCAGATCCCCGATTTATTTCAGAGTTCGTTATCATATCGGCTTCGCGTAATTTCTTCGCGTAATGTCACTGCAGCGGTCGCGGCCCTCCCCGGTAACGAATGGTGCGGACAACCTTAATTGACGGGGTCATGCCAATGGAGCCATAATCCACTTTGGCGACCATCTCGATCAAATACTCTCGATAAAAGAAAAAAAAAAAAGATACGATGACATCTCACATTGAAAACAATGAATTGCTCAAATATTTCGGATAAAAATTTGTTTCATTCTCATCACTTGTTTGTAAGAAAAAAATTATTCTGAAATATCATTTCTTGCTTGTGACTTTGTTTAACAATGCGTGCCAGAACTGGACAGATTATAAAAAGAATTTGCAGCAATCAATTCATGAGGCAATAAGCTCCTTTACTGAATCTGTCCTATGTGGCTGGTTGTCAAAGGGTTTCAGGGCCTCATTTATATACGGTGGAATCATGGTGTAGTGCAGCGCAAAAAACAGACACCAAACGAGCGAGAGAACGAGGACACAGCGCATTGCTTTTTGCGCTGCACTACACTAAGGTTGAATTGTTCCAACTCGCCCAACAAGCAAACTTGCTAAATATGGTGGAGTTTTATAAGGTCATAAGTGCTATCTCATAGTATTAGTAATGTGCTGTCTAATAAAATGCCAAGATTTAGAGTTTTCATAAAGAATTTCAACCAGCGATGCAAGGATAAACTTGGCTGTAAGCTATCGTTCTATCGTGCTCCTATTAAGAGGGCCAATATTCGGTTCATTTTCAAAAATTCATTTACATTTTACATTTAAAAAATAACAATAACAAAACCTCAGACACAAATTGCAAAACTGCTTCATTCACGTACCAAATTAAGGCAGCTTTGTACTAGTAAGCCTGAAGGGAGTGCGCAAATGGGCAGCCTTCTTCATCGCTTTTTTTCTTTCCTCCTTTTCTTTTACAGTTTACGTTTACCTATTTCTATTATTCTTTTCCTTCTTTCATTTACAATTTTCGCTTGCTTACTTTTTTTGCATGCAATTTTTATATGTGGTTCTGCCTGTGTTACGTCTAGCAATGACCACATATGACAACCGGGTTCTCTGAAGTACTCCGCACTTAAACTCTGGACACTCTATTGGCCAAAATTTTGGAGGTCTGCTGATTAAGGTTGCAAAAAGAATTTGGGAAGAGATGATGGTTGGTCTGACATTCAGCAATGTGTTCCTGTGTGTGAGATCAGAGGTAAAAGTAAGCACGCTTTGGGAGCTTGAAAAATGCACTAAATCGGGCATGCGACATAGAATGGACATCATACAACGACACGTAAGATCGCAAGCAGCAGGACAGAATAAGAAAAATATGGGAGGAGTGCTGGGCTAGGAAAGTTTTCAGCTACGTACTTGTGAGAAATATGCCGATACAAAATATAAACTCTTTATTTTTCCAAGTAAATTTGGAATGCTTCCTAAGGTTAAAAGCCTTATTCCAGTTTGATAGGGGTATGGAAACCTTTGGAGGAAGCAAACAGAAAAATTGTCAAGCAGTTATTTCTAAAGCAAATGCTTTCCAGATATCTGCATTCTGTCTGCTGCTTTGGAAATTGTTTTACAGTTCCTGTTGAGCCGGTCTTACCCAAACGGTAGCACGAAAAAGCTCTTAGCTCCAGCATGGTGAGAGATTCACTTTTAGACATTACCATTGCTAACCTAATTTATGTCTAATCTCATGTCTTCAGGAATGCTAAAGTGAAAAATTGCATCAAAGTAGTCAGAAAAGTTCTTCTTTTAATATTCTCATTATTTAACCATCGTTAATAATGAGAAGAAAAACTGACCATGAAAGTTTCATTTCTGAGCTTTGAAGCAAAATTTCAGCATGTGAATGTCACTGCGACGTGATGAATTTCAAAGTACTTTGTACGGAGGGAGTGAAAGGATTCATTTTATTTTTGAGACACAGCCAATTGAATACAGTGGACAAGGACGCCTTAGGGGACGTTACTTCTAGTCTTTCGTGTGGTGTAGTTAAATAATATTGTCATGTTAAATTATGACAAATAAGTAATGATAAGTAGGTGATGTAATCTTTTTAAATTATAAAATGAGTGCACACACAATCTCTAGTCACGGTAGAGGCACTGAAATGCACAATACGAGTTTACTGACAATCCTTCAGATTCATATGGTTCCAGGTGTAATCCCACACTAATGTCTGGTACTCTCTTTTTTTTGTTCTACAAATAAATATTTTTTTTTATAGTTCACTCATATAATTTAGTATTTAATAATGTGAGTGCGCACATGCTTGTAGTTACAAGTAAAAGAAGAAACGACTCGCTACAATAATTATGCAGCTGTGGGTTTTTGCACGTTGATAAGTATTAGCGGAACGCTGCCACTGATTTTAAATGTATTTTTTTGTTGCTATAAATACAAGTGTAGGTGTTCGCAAACCTAACAAGCATATGATAGCTCGATTACACTCAAACCTCACTATAGCAAAGTAGCATCTTACAAGAAAATAACTTTGTTATATGCATCGGAATATTCGTTATAAAGGTTATTTTAATGTTCTATTTATTGCAAGACTATTTTTCATTTAGTTTGTTATAAGGATTATTTTGTTATATCCATGTCCGTTACATCGAGGTTTGATTGTACTCTAACACCTGAGGAAGTGTGCTGCCCAGACACCCAGTTGGTGGAGTTTCCACTGCTCTGCTTACCAAAGCATCGATGGCGCCCATGTTTTAGGTAAGCATACAGAATTTCCCTCGAGTAGAATATTGCTTAGCAATTCTAAGCTAATTAATGGAATTACTTCAAGACTATTCCTGTTAAATATATTATTTTAAACTTTGTTCATTCATTTTAACCAGAGTTCAAGAACTACTAGCCTTCTTATGGCCCTTCGTGAGCGTTATCACAACTCATGAGATGTATGGATGGACGACAAGCCGGAAACCTGAAGTACTTCACACTTAAAAGAGTATTGAGGCACTTGGGAATGTACCGAGTATACTGTTACGTAAAATGAGACGAGACGTGACTATTTGCCAGTGTATTTACACTGATAAAATCGGAGCGCAGCATGCAGATCGAGCAAACCAGTCTTCTTCATCGTCTTCTGTCCACAGAATGATTGATTGATTGTGCACTCATTTGATGGCTTCTACAGCGCCGCTTTCGGCAACACGTATGGCTTGAGTCGTAGAGGGCGTCATGATCTTCTGCAAACGGCGGCGTAGGTGTGTGCTCATAATGGATAGCTGGGCACCTCTGTCAACAAGGCAGTAACAGGAACATTGTTGACTTTTACTTCAACGAGACTGTGGTCTGTGGGCAGCATCACTAGAGAGTTTCCGGGCATCGTTGGTATTGCAGCTTCGACTTTATGAGCAGCAATATCTAGTTTTCCTGCTGCGATTGTCCAGAGAAGCTCGGCGAGAAAAAGCGCCGAGGCGGCGGAGAGCGGGATTGGCAGCGTAGTGGCGACTGGAAGAAGGGGCGTCAGTGGGGAGAGGCTCGTGAGGAGGCGGCGAGTAAAAGTTGGACGGTGTAGTGGCTGGACGTCCAGAAGTGGAAGGGCACATATAAGTAGGGTAGCTCTGACGTGGTGGGTTAGACCAGCGGCGACGGAAATAATGAGAAATACGTCCAGGTTGATGACAGGAAAAGCAGATAGGCTGGTCGTCAGGGGTTCGCCATTGCATAGGGTTCCGGAAGAGCAATGATAGAAGAGATTGGCGAGCGTTACCTTAGGGGTATGGGCGTACTTCAGAGTGAGTCATTGGACACGCTGATGGAAGACCGAGATTAGCAAACTCCTGCCTTACCACAGCTTGAATTAAGGCTACCGATGGGTGTGATGGGTCAGTGGCTTGGGTTGTAAAAACAGGCTGTTGAATGGGAGCTGGACAGGCAGCTTCAAGCTCTCAACGAATGATTCTGGTGACGTGGTCATAGGTGGGTGGTTGGCGAGCCGCTTCACACGATGAAGTTGCGGCCGTGTTGGGCAGTCATGTGAATCTCTGCGTGATACGGCGGCTCTTGCCGTGTTAAAACCGCCGGCACTATTTGATGATTTCATCGATAATGGTGACGTTAGTGTATACAAGCAGGTTGAAGGAATCGTCGGCAATGCCTTTGAGCACATTCGATTCCTTCTCAGGCTCGGGCATGTGTTCGTCAACCTGGCGGCAAAGGGCGGTGACGTCGTGAATATACGCGACGTAGGATTTGGTAGACCTCCTGCCTTACCACAGCTTGAATTAAGGCTACCGATGGGTGTAATGGGTCAGTGGCTTGGGTTGTAAAAACAGGCTGTTGAATGGGAGCTGGACAGGCAGCTTCAAGCTCTCAACGAACGATTCTGGTGACGTGGTCATAGGTGGGTGGTTGGCGAGCCGCTTCACACGATGAAGTTGCGGCCGTGTTGGGCAGTCATGTGAATCTCTGCGTGATACGGCGGCTCTTGCCGTGTTCAAACCGCCGGCACTATTTGATGATTTCATCGATAATGGTGACGTTAGTGTATACAAGCAGGTTGAAGGAATCGTACCGATGAGTGTGATGGGTCAGTGGCTTGGGTTGTAAAACAGGCTGTTGAATGGGAGCTGGACAGACAGCTCCAAGCTCTCTACGAACGATTTTGGTGACGTGGTCATAGGTGGGTGGTTGGCGAGTCGCTTCACACGATGAAGTTGCGGCCGTGTTGGGCAGTCGTGTGAATCTCTGCGTGATACGGCGGCTCTTGCCGTGTTCAAACCGCCGGCACTATTTGATGATTTCATCGATAATGGTGACGTCAGTGTATACAAGCAGGTTGAAGGAATTGTAGGCAATGCCTTTGAGCACATTCGATACCTTCTCAGGCTCGGGCATGTGTTCGTGAACCTGGCGGCAATGGGCGATGACGTCGTGAATGTACGCGACGTAGGATTTGGTAGACGTCTGTGCCCGAGTAGCCAACTGATTTCGTGCGTTTCAGTTCAGTTCAGTTTATTCATTCATTCAAAATACAAAATTCGTAGAATGTAGTACGCAGACGATGGTCCCAAAGTCAAACGACTGCAGTGGTTATCTGTCGTGCAGCGGTGTTCCCAAAAAGGTCACGGATCTTCTCCTTGAAAGTGTCCCAGCTGGTAATGTCGGCTTCGTGCGTCTCGAACCACACCCACAGAGGGCCATCAAGGTAAAAAAGCATGTTGGCAAGCATGAGTGTCGGGTCCCACGTAAAGCTGGCGCTGATCCGTTTATACACGTTGAGCCACTTGTCAACATCAAGGACATCCTGTCCGGAAAATACGCCAGGATCACGAGCAGGAGGTAGGACAACGTAGGTAGGAGTCACAGAAGAGACGGGTGGTGAAGACGATGTTCCTTGAACTTGTGACATGGTAGGACCCGTGATGATGCGGCCGTTGTGGAGCTTCGTGATGGGTACAGGGAAGGACCGGCACGTCCACCACAAATATGTTACGCAAAATGAGACGGGACGTGACTATTTGCCAGTGTATTTACACCGATAAAATCAGAGCGCAGCACACAGAGCGAGCAAACCAGTCTTCTTCATCGTCTTCTGTCCACAGAATGGTTCACCCTTCATGCGATAGCTACGTAGCAATATTTTAGTCGCTGATGCCTTCAAAAAGCACTTTCACTTTCAATATCAAGGAGTGGCTTCTAAGTGACGTATCATTTCAGTGCGATGTCACAGGGAGATAGAAACTTGTAGAGCACTAGCGGCAGATTCGTCACCTGCACGTGGAGCACACAGAGCGAGCAAACCAGTCTTCTTCATCGTCTTCTGTCCACAGAATGGTTCACCCTTCATGCGATAGCTACGTAGCAATATTTTAGTCGCTGATGCCTTCAAAAAGCACTTTAACTTTCAATATCAAGGAGTGGCTTCTAAGTGACGTATCATTTCAGTGCGATGTCACAGGGAGATAGAAACTTGTAGAGCACTAGCGGCAGATTCGTCACCTGCACGTGGAGCACATAAACAACAAGAAATTGCTGTCTAGTAGCTCTGACAATGATTTCTGTAATTTAGGCTGCATGCGATGTGGAGAGTTCACAAACTCAATGGAACTGTATTGACTCGTTGGGATAATGTTCGTTGCAGTGAGGTTGACTTGCTAATACTCACCAATGAAAACTTTAAAATCAGAGTAAAATGTCTGACTGTGGTGTGTGGAGAGCGTTAGCACTGCATACCAAGGCAAAGATAAATATTCCTTATACGATGTCTCTAAATTCGTTCAGTACTAGGCACTTTAAGTAATGCATTTGATTCCAGGCTTAGAATAACATAGAGCTGAGCGAATTGGTAAGCATTCATTCTAGAAAACATGGCATGCAAACACAGACAACAAGGATGTTGAAAGTCAGGGCGTCTTTGATGTTCTTCTTCAGTCCAGTTTGCAAGCCCCGTCTTTTAGAATGATTACAGGCCACATTACCAGGGGCAAACCGCAAAAATGCGACGTGCCGTACGGGGGAAGCACTGAAGGCCATCTGGGCAGTCAAAACTACTCTGGAGACAGCTACTCTCACAGCACATGTGTACGTGCATTTCGCTGAAGTGCCAACCTCCACAATTTAGTTTTGAGAACTAAATAATGTCAGCACCTTTCCAGAGTGAAGCAATAATAACTGGCAACTATTCAACAAATTGGAACAGTTTAATTCAAACTAGAACTCCTTGCAAGCATGTCTGTGACCACAAATGAGAAGAAAAAGATATGTGCACAATCAAAGTAAACAACTATCAAGAATAAGCTGCACAGTCTGTCACGACAAGGCTTATACACAAGGAATTTGTGGACATGTATAGTACTCATTATTTGCGAGTGGTGCAAAAAACATTCACTCGGAAGAAGAAAAAGTATAAGTTAACAAACAGTCTGCAGAAGGTAACACACACAATAACAAACAACAATAAAGAAACAGTTTTGTAAATAGAAATAAAGTACTTAAATATAAGGTACATGCCAAAATGAAATCTCTTTTACAATGATGGTTGCTCATCATTTTGCAGATCCTAAGAGGTAGCTAGACATTGCTTCCAGCACCGACTGTGCTTTCCAGCTCAAAAAGAGCTAAAAAAATTGCATGCAAAAAATAAATTGGTCTGCATTCACATCATGACAAGGTTTGTGTAGCAGAAGCACGGCATGCCATAAGCGAGAGTGACCACAACATTACCAATGGCATGAACTCAACACCACTTTCACATGAGCACAAGCTTTTTTTTTTAATTTTTTTCCACTCCAGTGAGAGACTTGGATATTTGAACAACGGCTTCAAATTTTACAATGGCACTGACAGTAAAGGTCCCTCTATAGTCTAGCACAGCTTTCGTTTCATCAAGTGGTGGTAGAAGATGGTGATGCCAGGTTCGTCACGTTACATTGACACGGAAACAGAGCACTCTATACCCCCGTTCGCACGCTGCATCATGCCACCTTGATGTATGCCCAACATCCCTTCATCATGAGAAGATGCAGGTGTGGTGAAGTGTGGGTAACATAGCTGGCGCGTAATGTAGCGTACCGCATCTGGGACGTGCCGAGAGACGGGAGATGTGTTAGTCATGCCTCACAAAGAACCAGAGATAGATGTTCATTTGTTAGCGTAGCTTCGTTGTGCCGAGTGTGCTCATGCGTCGACATTTCGTCTGACTATAAAGGTCAGGCATGAGATTCATTTTTGTAAGAAAAAAAAAAGCAGCACACTAACACTATGAGAAGATGGCTCAATCGTGCACAACAGTCGAAACACCAGAGACTCTGACGTGACATTGGGCCTGCAAAGCAGTGTCAGTCATGAATGAGAACTTCAAGCAGCAAAATGCTTGGAAGCATACACACAACATTGTAGATGAATAGGGCATTGCTGACAAAGCCTGGTGGCCACTTGTGGTACAGTACCACCAACAATGCACAAAACGACTTTCCAGCATGCTGGGAACAATGTTTGAGGATTCAATGTGAGAAACACTTCATTTAAAAAAATACTATGCATTACTGGGAAGGTATAGAGGCTAACACAACTTATGTGTATGTAGCATAATACACTGCAGGGTGATACCTCAAGTAGAAATGCTAAGAGCACTCAAGTGTGGGTATGTAGCTAGAAAACTGTGCTACATTTAATATATATGTATAATATACTCTTTCATTTGCTTCTGCATCGGGTTGCTAGTTATTACAGGTGCGGCTACATTTAGCGCAGCTAGATATATTTGCATAGAAGTGTACTGTGATGACACCTGTCGAGAGGTGTTTTTAATATTCTGCTTTGTGAACAGCAGTGACAAAAAAAAAAAGTTCTGACACGCACACACATTGTACATGGTGTAGCAAAACTAAATTGCAATCTCTCTAAGGGCGACACTACCTCCAATACTGGAGTGAGACACTTGTATAATAGGTTGCTATCATCACCACCGTTTATAGTATCTATAATAATCACATGTCTCAATCACTGATAGCAACTGCAATTAAACTGCTTGGTGCTATAGCATGAAAAACAAAAAGCAAGCGGAGCAATACATTTGCACACTCTGGGTATCACAAGGTTCAGCAACTCCCTGGCGTTCAACTCCATGGGATCTACGAGATGCAAAGCTGTTAACTCAAAACCAAGAGTTGCAAAGGACAAAATTTAAAGTAGACTGCCATGCTTCAATTAACATGACTGCATATCAAGTCCCACTTGCACTCTTATCACATGCAGTTCCAAGCATGGTTTTTTTTTTCCTCTCAGAAAGACACGACTGTACAAGTAAACATTCATAGGCATAACAGAGACAGCACAACAGGCAGTTCCATGATGCCCATCTGGGGGCTTTAAAGGCAAACAAAAAATACATACAACACGTGCCTTTAAGAATGAACGGGAAGGAAAAAGTGTTTTATCTGCCCACGAGTAACCTAGTTAATAGGCTTCACAACATTATGTCTCCGGAATACTCGGTCTCATCACAGAAGTGAACACGACGCTGCACAAGAACATGAAAACAAGAACTAAGAGCTGCAGGAACAACCCCACTGTAGTTCAACGCAGGTACAGCAGTTTTCAACAAATAACTACAGGACGTTTTAACTTGGCTAGACAGCTCTTCACAAAAAACTGCTGAATGCTTTGCATACTTGGGTAAATAGCTTTCCACAGACGGCTAGAGAAAGCATAGGCCACGTCAATTTGTGTACACACACTTGCGGGAAGCACATCAGCTGGGTTAGGGGAAACAGCTGCAGCTAGCTATACAGCTGTGTACATATGTGCACACACCTATGACTAGCGCTTTTCAGGGGGACATGGAGCCACTGCTTCTGGAGAAGACTTTGCACTGGGACAAGCAGAACAAGTTCCGTGTCAAATGTGGCTGTGGCCTTCGTGCAGTGCTCTTCGATGACTTCCGAGTCTCTGGTGTGGTAAGGATTCCACTGCAGGATTCAGACACGGGGACTGCTGGGAGAGCTTTCGCCTCATTTCACCGACGATTGATTCACGATGGCTTGGGGACTGGTGGTGCTGCTGCTGCCTCTTGGTACGACGGGAGGTATTGCTGCACGTGCACATACAGCAGCACGTCATGTACACTTCAAGCACATAGCGTCTGTACATTTTGCGGACAGGAAGTATGAGAACAAAAAGTACATATGTCACAGCTACATAGCAATGCCAGCTACATGTCACAAGGTTATGACGAGCATGGGGTCGCAAGTCAGCACTGTTGTATTGCCCTACTTTGTCTTGTGTTTTGATGAAATTTTACTCTGTTTCTCTTCTTTTTGAATAGGGCTTATGAAACACAACTAAATGATCTGCTGTTGCACATCTGCTGTTACGACCTTTGTGCATTTGAGCAATACTAATGACTGATTGATTAATTAGACATATAATTCAAAAAAAAAAGATCTGGGTTTTTTATGCACCCTCAAAGGAAGGCTCTGATTACAAACTTCAAGCAGTACAACAACCAAGAGAAAACTCTTGGTGTTGTAATCGAAATTGTAATCATTGAATAACAACATGCCCAATTCTACGTTCTCCTGGAAATCTTTGGAGGGTTAATTTGTAAGCGTTCTGTCGCAGAAGAGCAGAGAGATTTAATGAAACAATGATAGGGAGCCAATATGCGAGCTGAGGGAATCCACAATTGCTCTCAACAGATTTATAAATACAGAATTGTTACAGCTAAACATTAATATTGCGAGGCACTGCTTTTCAAAGCTTGAGACTGAAAAGCGGGATTACTTTGACTGTTGATTCATGTTAATGTTTAAAGTATGAAGTTCTAGATGGTGTTGCAATTATACAAGTCATTCAATGATAATTTTTGCTATAGCCAAGGAATCGGAGTGAGATAGGCAAAGAACAGGCTAATTAGATCCTCCGGGCTCAAGCGCTTGCATTTCGATCCAATCCACGTCGTTCGGAGATTGCTCTGAATCCATTCTATCGACAGAATGGAGCCTCCGCCTGTTCTGTTCCTATTCTGTGGCTATTTTCACCCCTTGACTGTCATACGAGCTTCGACCAATCCCGTGCGGCTCCCTGTCGTTCTTCTGTTCGGTCCCTTCCTTCCTCCGTTCAGTGGCAGAACACTTTCAAAATAGCCCCTCTAGACTGATTTCGACAACTAGTCCTGGGTTTTGTAGGGTCCACTTTTCCCCCCTAAATTGAGCAGGCAAGAGGTATTCAAATATTATTATTTAAGCTAGGATTACGAGAACAAAAGAGAATATTTATTTTAATATGCTGATATCAAATATGAACTCAAGTTTATATAGACCATGCCTCATTTGATTACACATTTATTAAACTGGCTGCACAGATACTGCTGAATAAAACAACACTGAATTCTAGACTTGCCAAGGAGTGCAACAAGTGTGATTTCCCGGTTCTGGCTTTCTAGAACAACAGTTATGGACCTTCAAGTTATAGACCTTCAAATGACAGAAAAGGCATTTGTCTTAGTTAATGCTTTCTAAATATTTATAACTTTCCAAAGAAATAGTTCCTGCTCTTTTGCACTCCCCAACAAAAATGACTAAAAAAGAGTGTTCCAAAGCTGGAAAAAAAAAGCCAGTAAAATAGAGTAAGCCTACAAAAACACAGAAATTATAAAAAAAGAAAATAAAAGTCCATATGTAGCTAATACAGTATAAAATGCCCCTATGGTCCAAATAATGATCTAGGATGCATGAAAAATGGTGAGGTTATACATAAGTAATGGCCAGAGTGCCAGAATGCAATGTTTTTCATTTCGGTTTTAGTTTCAATCGAGTGAAAGAAGTTCTGCGGAATTCCTTCTCTAAAATGAGAAAGAAAGTCTAAACAGTTTGTAACGATTTTGATTTGTGTGCTCAACATTTGAAATTAAATTGACGATAAGAAAACAGTACATAGATGAAAGAATTATAAAAGAATAGAAAACATTTTTGAAAATAAAATCCTAAAACCCTCAGCACATCACGGGCGACTCTCACATGAATTATGAATTATATAATGCTTTGAATGTTTTGTGTCAAGAGATCGAACATGGTCTCATAAGTAGCATATTGAGTGTGAGTCTCCTGACATGCGAGACCGCAGTTCTGATGAAACTAACTTCAGGGCCGACAATGCCTTCTCCATACTCATAGATGTGCACAAGGTTACCCTTCGGGGTGGGGAGAGGGGGTGGTGAGAGTTTGCCACAGCTACCATCCCTCCCTATTCTGTCAATGTACAGGGTTGGCGTTTGCACTACCCCCCCCCCCCCCCCCTTTTGGGTGATTAGGGTGGGTGGCCGCCCCCTGCTGTGCACACTTGTATGTCCATGCTGGTCACCTGCCATGGTAGTTTGGCGGTTACGGTGCTCAACTGCTAACCCGTGAGTCACACTATCGAATCCTGAGCCTCAATAGCCGCACTTTCAGTACAGGCGGAAATGCTTGAGATTCATGTACTTAAATTTAGGTCCAAATTCCCGGAGCCCTTTGCTTAGGCGTTTCTCATAATTTTTGGGATGTTAACCCCCAGCAATTATTCTCCACATTGGTCTGTAAGACTGGCACACCAAGACCCATTTGCATTATTATGGACAGCTGCAGCTGCCACTCCTATCTTTTTTTTTTCTTTTTGCAAAATTCAAACACATCTTTAGCTTGGAATTCTTAACTGAGATAGGCACTCCACTGAGATACACATTAATGCTCGCTTCTGCTCGATTATTATGGGCTGCCAACTTTCTGAAAAACATATTCTGGTTCCACTTCCGAACGAAATATTAGATAAAGTTTTGGTTACGTTTTCATTCCACACCAAAATCTATTTTTTTTAGGTTCTTGTTGGTTTTTGTTCTGTTTTAACACATTGGTAATGGCAGAATCCAAAAATAATGTTTCAGAAATCAATTATTTTGATGATTTCTGGTCCTAAAAAGAAGCTTCCCCTCTTTAGTGCAAACTACTATAGCATTGACCAGCCTCAGATGGCTATAATAAATGCCAAGAATTGCACCTTTACTTGATTGCAGATGTAATGGATAAGTAGCTATACTAAGGGGACGAATCTAAAGAAAGGCATTCCTTAAAAAAGAGTTGAAACTCGAGTAAAAACGTTTATACTAACCACACTGAGCACAGTGTCTGCATAAGATGGGGGCTTGTCTTGCTGCATCTGAAATAGATAGGCAAGCCAAGGATATATTATTCAGTGAAATATGTGCAGATTGCTTTGGGGCAGCAGGTCAACATGAATAGATCACAGCAAATGCTGCCATCTAGAACATTTTCTGTCCACATGCGAAATATGAGCAAACACAACAGCAGAGTTTAGAACAAGCTAACATACCTGGTATATATTCAATGAGCCTTGAGAGTTTGAAGTGTGAATACCTAAAAAGACAAACAAAAGTTTATGAAAGCACTGAAAAGCCATCACATTGCTCACTGAACTTTGGTGATGAATTTCCACTAAAGGGACACTAAAGGCAAATATTAAGTCAACATTAATTACTTAAATAGCGATCCAGAAACCTTGCAGTGCTACTTTTGTGCCAAGAAAGAGCTTATTTTGAAATAAAATCATGTTTTAGCGGTCCTCATTGTGTTAGCACACTTCAAATCCCCCCGCCTGAAAGTGGTCCGTCTCACTTCACAGTTGCCGTGCGCAACGTTGCCCGGCTTTACTGCACAGTTGCCAACACTAGTAGCAGCAGCGAGAAAGTAGCAGGAGCCACAGCAGCACTAGTGGCCACTGAAAAATTTTCTGTTATGACCCCCGAGATGACGGGCATGCTTGGTTCAACCCGGCCCCGCTAAATGGCACCACCTGTCCAGTTTACCAAGGCAAAAATGGAACTTAACCACTCGCACCACTTCCCATAGTAACACCTGGCGGTTCTTTTTTTTTATAAATCAAATAGCAACGGACAAGCAGCATTTTATTACATCTGTTGATGAACAGAAGGTTCCTTATTTATTTCAACTTTATATATTGTAACCGACTACTAGTGATTAACTGTAGTCTGACGCTCACATGTCATCAGGATCATTTCCAAAATAATCCACTCATGGGGCCAGTCATGTGGTACATATAGCTTAATTTCTCAGTAAATAGGGCACTGCTGTTAATAATATTGCCATTTTAGAGACATTGAGCTTTCACTTTGACATAAACTGTTATTTGCCTATAGTGTCCCTTTAGGCTAAGAAGCAAGCAGCCCAGTTAGAACAATGGAACATTCGTAGCCAGAAGCCAGACACCACTTTCACCAAAGCTGGAATGGTATAGATTAACAGCTGAAGCATATAGCGCAGGCAATGTATGAAAGTGCTGTCAGTGAATACACAGTGAAGCACTTGAAAAAGGTCGAGCCTAGCGAAGGAAGTACACCGGATGTGATAACCTCTTGACTAAGTCCATAGGTTGACAAATATGAAGAGCTCACTCAGACTCACCTAAACTTTCCTCAACTTGACTCACTCAGACTCTGATTTGCTAAAATCTTTCTCACCAGGACTCGCGTGTACTCGAACTTGCACAAACATTACTGACATAAGCGAGAGCTTGGTTCCTCTACAAAGGGGGTTTATCAGCCCTTTTCCCCTATGAGGTCAAAGTATGGGGCAGACCTTGTGCCTCACCTCCCCCCCCCCCCCTTAGATAACTAGTAGGGTAGCTGCCCCTCTGTACGCTCGACCATATTTGCTGGCTGTATGCTCACCCATGTTCGCTGATCTATGGTCTTGGATGCACTTCAGGCTGTGGCACAAGAGGCCCCTAAGAATTTTGAAGCTGCCTTCCTGAGTTTCAGTGTCTGTGATGTACAAGTCAACAGCTCAGATTGGAGAATGTCTACAAAGACTGAATTTTCCAATGCTGCTTCTTGGCAGACAAATGGACAACCTCTAAAAAGTAATTGTAAAACTTCTAAACCTTGCCATACTGAAGATGCTCACCGTGAATATTGCTCGGAGCAACATGCTGGTCTGCAGGAATGGTGACTGCAGCTGTCTGCTGCAGGACAGCAAGTGTGGAATCCCTCATGCAGCATGGAAAATAAAAAAACATGTTCCTGGAAAAGTTGAGAAAAGCAGTTACATGACTGAGACACAGTCAGCTGACTAATTGATAAATCTATCATTTCAACTCTTGACCTTCCAGAGTAACAGTGGCACTACGAAAGACACCGCAAACATGAAGACTCAGTGTATTTTGACCACTTGAAATGAAATCTCCAAGAGGACGTGCTCTTTAGATTTCACATCTGCTTAAATGCAGCTTAATTAGACTTGAACCCCAAACCTGGTGCTCAGTGAAAGAACACGACAGGGACTAGTGCTGTACCTTATAATATGGTCCAGCTGTAAAAGTGTGCGGATGAAAGTTCCATAACACTAATAACTGTTAAGGGTTTTATGTCCCAAAACTGCCGTGAATATCAGAGACGTCGTAGTAGAGGGCTCTGGAAATTTTGACCATCTGGGATACTTTATTGTGCACCTAAATCCAAGCACATGGGCTTCAAGCATTTTTCCCTCAACGAAAATGCAGGTGCCGTAGCTGAGATTCGATCCCGTGACCTTCAGGTCAGCAGCCGAGGGCCTTAGGCGACTAGACCAACGGGGCGGGTCAATGAAAGTTATATGTGCAAATGCTAGGCAATTAGCCCTCCTTACATGCTCAACGTATCGTGCACTGAAATTTTTCATCAATATATTTTGCTACAAGAACTCCTGAAGTGATGTTCTTAAATACCATACACATCATAAACCATTTTTGCAATGTCATAATCAGCATCGAAATTGCGACCATCTCCAGCTTTTCTGTTCATATATGTGTGAAACATAGAAACGATTCCAGTAGGTAGCCAGTGAACATTTTAAATTATCTATTGTTACGTCTACAAGAGGGGTTTAATTCAGAGGCGACATAATGGTCGACTCAAGGGTATACAATGAACACGCACCAGAGACTTATTGATGCTGATGCTGATGACCTGAGATGGATGGATATTGCCACCAACCGAACGTCCTCTTCGTCTGGCACCACCCTGTTCCCCGCGACACAGAGGAACATACCTAAATTGCATATGTGGTAACATTTCCCTCCGTGCAGACAAAGCCCACTGGGCGAGTCAAACAGTCTCTCGAGGAACAAAGCGCTTCAAACGTGCAACATGGGCAAGTTTGTTTTTGCAGACCGTCGGCCGTTCAAATGGAGACGCCCCATGCGGTAAACTAAATCACTGATACGATCTATAACAAGACAAGGTCCCGTATAGTGCGCTAACAGTTTCTTGCTCAAACCACGTTTTCTAGTTGGTGTCCACAGCAATACTAGTTCGCCGCGATTGTACGTCACGTGTCGGCGTCTGTGGTCAAAATGTGCCTTCGAATGGTCTTTCGAAGCAAGAGTGCACAAATAAGCAAGGCGTCTGGCTTCTTCTGCCCGACAGATGATCTCGGATATGCAGGGACCATAGGTGGTCCAAACATGGGAAGACGGTACTCAGGGTATGACGAGGCGGTCGAGCATATAGGAGAAAGAAGGACTGTAGCCGGTAGAGTCATGCTGTGCGCTGTTGAATGCATAAGTGATAAAAGGTAGAATACTGTCCCAGTCCTTGTGATCTGATGCGACATACATAGACAGCATGTTCGTGAGAGTTCTGTTCGTTCGTTCAGTTAGACCGTTCGTTTGAGGATGGTATGGTGTAGAGTGCCGAAACCTTGACGCGCAGATACGAAGCATCTCTTTCATCACGTCTGCTGTGAATTGTCGGCCACTGGTCACTGATTACAATTTTGGGAGGTCCATGTCTTAGAATTACAAAACGTAGCATGAAGAAAGACACATTGGCTGCAGTTGCCGATGGTATGGCAAGCTGTCTCGCAGTACCGTGTTAAATGGTCGGTGCAGACGACTATCCAGCGATTTCCATCGGAAGACTGGGGAAAGGGCCCAAGGAGGTCAATCCCGACTTGCTCGAATGAAGTTCTAGGGGGCGGCACCCGATGTAATCGGCCTGGAGGAGCACTTGTTGGGCACTTATGACGTTGGCACTCCTTACAATCTAGACACGCATCGTTCCGTCGTCTGGCGCATTTTGGGCCAGTAGAATCTTTCTTGAAGATGGCAAAGAGTTTTCGCTGTGCCTAGATGACCGGATGTCGGGTCATCATGCATAGCCTGCAAGACATAAACGGGAAGACTCTTCGGAACCACGAGGAAATATCGTGAGCCGGTCGTAGCATAGTTCTTTTCATACACTAGACCGTCGCGGATGCAAAAGCGAGTCGCCGATGATCTTGGCTCGTTAGGAAGGAGCTGCTGTATATTTTGGTCCCTTTGCTGCACAGTCTTGAAGTCATTGGTATCAGGAAATGGCAGGTCCAATGGTGCGATGTAGGTGTTGAAGTTGTCCACGTCACAGTCCATCGATAGAAACAGTAGTCGCGAAAGACAATCTGCATCAGCGTGACGACGACCATTTTTATAGGAAACCGTAAAGTCGTATTCCTGCAGACGGAGTGCCCAACGCGCTAGTCGACCAGATGGGTCATCCAGATTGACGAACCAGCAGAGAGAATGAGGGTCTGTCCCGATGGTAAAGGGGCGTCCGTACAGGTAGGACCGGAAGCGCTGCACTGCGAAGACTACTGCAAGGCATTCTTGCTCTGTGACAGTGTAGTTACGCTCGGACTTGCTGAGCAAGCGACTTGCATACGCTACGACGTGTTTTTGGTTATCCAAGCATTGAACCAGGACAGCACTTACACCAATACCGCTAGCGTCTGTGTGAAGTTCAGTGGGAGCCAGAGGATTTAAATGTCGTAGAATCGGATGAGACGTCAAAAGAAACTTCAACTCCGAAAAAGCAGACTCACATTCCGGGGTCCAGTCAAACTGCGCACCTTTCTGAAGCAGGCACGTGAATGGGTATGCGATATTGGCAAAGCCAGGAATGAATCGGCGAAAGTATGAACAAAGCCGCAAAAAGCTGCGCAGTTCTTTCCCACCTCCACTGTGGCAGTCTTGGCAGGATCCTGTCGTATGCCTTCTTTGTCCACTAAGTGTCCAAGGATGAGTGTTTGGCGCTCTCCAAAACGACATTTCTTTGAGTTGAGCACCAAGCGTTATTTGCTTAGGCAGTCCAGCACGAGGCCGAGGCGTGTGCCCGAAAATTACTACGTCGTCTAAGTAACACATACACCACTTCCCACTTCAATCCACGTAGAATGTTGTCCATGAAGCGCTCAAAAGTTGCAGGCAGCGTTGCAGAGTTCAAACGACATCACATTAAATTCAAAAAGTCCATCTGTTGTAACAAATGCCGTTTTCTCCTTGTCTTCCTCGTGCATTGGAATCTGCCAGTAGCCCGACCTCAAATCCACAGACGAAAAGTAAGAATCGATGATAGACAGTCGATAGCATCGTCAATCCGCGGAAGTGGGTATACGTCTTCTTTAGTGATAGCGTTGAGACACCGGTAGTCAACACAAAATCGCCATGTCCCATCTTTCTTCTTCACTAGAATTACTCGAGCAGCCCACGGACTACATGATTCTTGAATTACATTTTTCTTGAGCATCTCGCAAACCTGTTCACTGATCACTGTGCGTTCTGAAGACGATACACGATATGGTTTCTGTCGGAGAGGTCTATGAGATGTCGTGTCGATTCAGTGCTTTATACGAGAAACAGGGAATGACGGTGGATCGTGCTGAGCGAAATAAAAAATACCGGCATGTTTGTGCAAAATACTCGCCAGTTCATTACGTTTGTTGGTGCTGAGTGACATGTCGATCATAGCCATAATGGTGGTGTCCCTGGCGGGCCGAAACCCCTCTCGTAGACGTAACAATATGTTGCATTCACAAGGAAAGGTAGGTCATGTAGCTTTCACGAAAATCGCAATATATTGAAAAGCTTTGAGAAAGTCGGGTTGCAAATGTCATCAGTGTATAGCTGTGCACCATGCATAAATTTAACCGATTTCCATGAACTGAAGCTGTTAGAGAATATGAAGTTGGAAAGTGTGATTATTCACAAACATATACCCCAATGTCATGCTGCATTTACAGCTTACTTGAAAGTGCTAAAATACTATAGTTCTGTAAAAGTCTTACTAAAAAGCCGCTCCACTACCGTGAAAGCTGGGAAGGCACAAAGCACACAGTGATGGCCCAGTGTTTTGTACGAGACACGCTGAGACCTTAAGATTCTTCGCCCCTTAAAGTTGTGGCTCCGATTAGACACAGAGACTTAAGTTAACACGAACGATGTGAATCAGTATTGTTCAACTACCCACAAGTGAAAAACTACTTTGCAGGTCAAGATCCAGTGCCTGTATATACAGGGTGGCCGGTGAATGGTTAGCAGTTGGTTTTTTTAATCAAGAAACTGGTTAGCAGACTCTGCCTGCGTCAACGTTGCCTCTCGTGGACTAGGGCGTGTTCTCATTCCTTGCATGCTGGCAGTTCCTCAGCAACTGATTCGGGGAATGTTTTCCAAAAATAATTACCTCATATTGCCACGAAGATAGCTTTTCTGCATCACTGCCATGAAGTAACTTTTGGACACTGGAATTCGGTTTGTTTTCTTCAGCGACATCGTAAATAATCATTGTAAAGACAGGACATGCAAACGCAGACACATTCTTTTAGAATGAATACTTACCAAGCAGCTCAGCTCTCCGTTATTCTAGTTGTAAATAAACTTCCTTTTTAAAATTAGCTAGTGCTTTCTTTCGTTTTTTTTTTCATGAGATTTTTAGGGTGTCTACCTACACTGCAGTCGAATTATATTTGTATAGATACAGCAATTAAAAGTAAGCCCTATATTTGTGAAAAACAAAATGACCACCCAAGACAAGACTTGTGTCCCCCATTACAATATTTTTGGATTTATCCCACTGGTAGTAGGAGATGGCATAGTGAAAAGAGAACAACTACTTTTCGGTTACTTCTGACATGAAATTCTCAATTCCCTGCTGGAATTGGTGCTAATGTATGTGGCTCACATGTTCATAGGAGCCTTGACTGCAGATTTATCATATTTTCAGACTAATTTGAAAGAGTGTCGCAAGGCCTCTCTAACCCCTTCAGGCACGAATTATGATGCACTGTCTGCAAATCCATTGAATTCAAATGGCATAATTCTATGACACTCACTACTACATTTCAAGAAATAAAATGAGAGAATGTCTGTTCTTCTGTATGAGTTTCAATAATTAATGTTAATTAGCATTTAATTAAATACCTAACTATTTTGCAGTAGGTCGGGTTTAATTTCAGTGTTAAAAGAATCTGATATTGAACAAAAAATGTGCGCTCACATTGTTTTTAGGTTATGTTGTTTTGAGCGAAGAAAAATAATACTTTTTATGCAGGCCTGGAATGTGCCACGTCGAACATGGTAGTGCCTCCAGCAATGTCACCCTCTGCCACAACGTGCAGCACAATGAAGTTAAACTACCACTACTTGTCTACTCCGGAAGGCTGTGTAAATATGCACACTGCATTTCAAGCCATTTGAAGAAACGTGTTCTGCGTGATGCACCTCCGGAGTTGATGAGTCCTGTTGCATACACCACCGCTGAAGCGGGCTATATGTAAGCTCCTGAGGCAACCATGTGCCCTGAGAGCTCTTCAGAAAGTGCATCACACAGTGCTTCAGAAAGGCATTCACACAGATTTTGTAAGAGCACTTGTTAGATTTGAAATCACGGAAAAGTAATCCTTGCCTCTGGTTTACGAGGAACAGTAGTGCGACGACTAAAATGGCAACAATCATGAGGACAGCAAGGACGTTGAACTTGGACGTAGAATGGAAGCTCTCCCCTCCTTGCTTTTCAAACGAGGCTGCAAGAATAACAAGGAGGAAAAGATCCCAAATATATGTCATTCTGTGGCCTGGGAAATGGCGCTAAATAACTTGTATGTTGACTGCATATGCTTCCAGTTTACTGATACTAGATTTGCCATCTACATCTGCTCAAACCATCATAACCATCATCACCACCCGACTACGCCCACTGCAGGGCAAAGGCCTCTCCCATGTTCCGCCGATCAGCCCGCTCCTGTGGTTGCTGTGGGGCCACATTGCACCGCCAAACTTCTTAATCTCATCTGCCCATGTTACTTCCTGTATTCCCCCCTTTTGCATTTGCCTTCTCTTGGAATCCAGTCCCTTGATGACCAGGGGTTATGCTGACTACACGCTACTGGCCCTGCCCATGCCCACTTCTTGATTTCAACTACGACATCCTTTTCCCTGTTTGTTCCCTACCCACTTTGCTCTCTTACTGTCTCTTGAGGTCACCTCTATCACTTTCCTTTATATTGCTTGCTGCATGGTCCTCGATTTGAGTTGATCCCCCCTCTTTATAAGCCTCCCTGTTTCTGCTCTATGGGTAAGTACCGGCAAGATGCAGCTGTTACGTGTTTTTTGCTTGGAGGACAATAGTGAACTATCATTCATGCTTTGAGAATGCTCTCCAAATGTGCCCTATTCCATTCTTATTCTTCTAGTTTTATTTCCTTAAATAATGGTCATTAATTCAAATGTGTACCAGCAATAATGGGTGTTCTACCAGCTGAAAGAAAGCTGCTGGGTTGGCAGCTTTGGCAAAATTACATAGGAATAAAAACTATGCAATTTAACTTTATGGCATAATCAGATAGTAAAGAAATCGAAAGCCCCGTCTGTATACTTACTGAACTTCTCGCAGTGATCATCAGCAAAGTACGTATCATCCTTGCACATGCACGTTCCATTGAGGCACACTGCTCGTGAATAACGCGAACATGGTTTTGATGAAGAGCAACTGTCACCTATCAAGGTCTCTGTAATAATAATAAAAAAAGGAAGCAAAAATGTAATCGTTCTTCAAGGAGAAATATAGAGAGAAAACCAGCGGTAAAAATTTCTGGGCTTTTATTTGCCGTAATCACAATAAGAATATGAGACATACTGTAATGGAGGGCACAGGTATTGACCCCTAGTGGTTCTTTAACGTGGACTACAGTCAAGGTACTATCACGCTCGGTATGAACCACACCGTGGGAGCACGTGGTGAAGTGCACTGCAAGGTGTTATAGTGGCGAGGATCGCGATACGTTTTCGAGTTATCAAGAAAGAGTGTGGCTGTCTCCATCAGTGCGCATCGACCACTTGCTTTACTGCTTTCCCTGATTTCGCCTGTCGTGATGTCGGCTTTGAAAAATAACTTCTGCGTGGCTTGATGCCCAAACCTCGAATTTTAGTTCACTATGGCTTAATAAATGGCAAAAGGTTTTTCAGATGAACAGCGCTACAATGGGACATAACAAGACGGCACAAAGCCAAGAGTTGCAATCGTGAGCTCGAACCGCACCCCCCGAGCGTAATGTTTTAATGTTCCACTTGATGTGCACACAGTTACGCGTTTAAAGCAGAGGATGAGAGGAAAAAAGAGAAAACAGCATTCCATCTCTTGAGGCTCTGGAACGAAAGCAGTGGATGAAAGTTCTTGCAGAATCCGACAGTCACCACACCCACAGCTTGAGGGCCAAACCTCTGTGACTATTAAACTGATTATTGATTTCCAATAACAAAAAAATAATGCAATAAGGTATAGAAAAAATGAGCCACCTGACTCTACCCGCAGGTACAGTCCTCATCAATGTGAAATGAAACACTGAAACTGCATTCAAGAAGTCACAGTAGCTAAAAAGAAATTTTCCAATATTTGGAATACTACATCGAACAATGTCTTCTATGACTTGCCTTTTGAATTTCATAGGCATTATACATAGAAATGAATACTTTGAAAATAGTTTACAAATTTTTTCAAATGTAAAGTTCACCCCAATAGCCCTAAACTGGTGGTACAAAAGTATGGTTAACTACATCTCTACAGGCATAATGTGAGCACAAAATACGAGAGATTACGTCACTCAAGGAACCAGACTCTAATGGCAGCAGTGCAATTGGTGACACGCACTAAATGGTTATATGCATGTGAAAAATATTACTTGCATGTGATGCTCTGTTTGTGCTTTTATACAAGAATATTATATATGTTAGGATGTGAACATTGTTTTACAAATGGCAAAAGCTACATGGAAAAAAAACTGAGTTTGATTTTACTTGCTTCTGTAGTCATTGAATTCACTCTCAGGGGTCATTACTTGCAGGAGTTTGATTAAACAGTGATTAACAATAACTAATCATTTGCCCATAAAAAGCTAGACATTTCCACACCTGGCATGGATTCCGAAATGTGATTTATTTTACAGATTTTTTCCGTGACTGATCTTTATATATCAGTCAGTGAGTTTGCATGCCAGTGACTGATGTGTAACCTGTACAAGACATATAGCCTTTAAGATATATTCCAAGTAGTCCACCGTTTTCCACTGACTCAGTAATTTTTCTTCTAGGGGTGAAGCAACTTAGGGTTTTGGCATGCCCACGTGTCTTGTTATTGCCACGGTCTATCATCAGTGAGTACACACAACAAAAATTGGGCAAACCCCACTAGTACATACTGGGTACGTTATGAGTTAAAGGTTTGTCGTTATTCTCTTCCATATTACCTATGTCTGGCTTAGCAGCGGTGTCAGTGTCCTTGAAGAAATTTACCAAGGCTTCTTATCTAAAAACGGAGACGCAAACATGCATCTCTACAGTAATGTCAGAACACCGCTTCTTGAAACATATCTGCAAAGTTATGGTGCGTTTCTAGACCGGTAATGAGTAAAGCAGTAATAATTTTGCTGTGGGAAACACTTCACCCCTCCCCAGGTTTCACATGAGTGGAGTTGAAACACACTTCCCCCCTTCGTCATAATTTTTTATAGTGTGTTCTTTTTGGAGCATAGTTTCCAACACACTGTAAATCGCTATCCAACAATGATGTGGCAACTCACCAGGCTTGCATTCAACCCAATCGTCTACGATGGCAGGTTTGTAGCCGTCTCGACAGACGCATCGACTATCCACACAAATCACGTGTCTGATGCTGTGGTCGAAGCAGTGTCGATCATTCCGGCAGCGCTGTCCAAGTTCATCTATCCTCACTGAACCTGAAACGACGTACTTGTAAGTGCAGAGCAGATGGAACAACCTCAGACAGAATACGTTGGAGGAAACTTGAAAAGTGCAAATGATGAAGACGAAACACATACAACAGGAGTAGCAATTTAATTGTATCTGGCATTTATTCAAAACGAGCACCTTGACATACCCACGCGTAAAGCTCATACATATGCACACATCACCTAACAACAGATTGTGTGGGTCGATCTTCGAACATGAAATTTGAAAACAAATGTATGTGTATCAGTGTGCATCGAAAGAAAAGCAATGTCATTTTCTGCTAACATCAAAGATGAGCAGCTGACATACTTCTCACCTGCTTTCTGTATCAGGTAAGCCTCAACGATTTCGCATGCTGTTCTTGAAAAGGCGGTGCTGTGAAATAAAGGCGTACAAGCACATTGCTTGCAATATTCTGCTTTGAAGACTGCACCCATGCAATATACTCCGAGATAAAGTGTGCACATGTATGCACTTGATGCACATATGTATCAATACTGTTTGTTTCAAATAAACACCACTTGGCAAGCAAAGTGCCAGTCCTGTTGTGCATGTTTTGTCTTTGTCATTTGCACTTTTCAAGTTTCCTGTAATGATGAACCAACTTTTGTATTGTTGATATATGTTTCCGTTTTGTGCAATTTAATTCTAATGTACACGATAATTGTTATCAAACATACTTTAGAAGTTTTGCAGAACTGTGCTAATATTTCAGTGCATTCAGAGTGTATGTTTCTCCCTGCATTTCTTTTTTAATAAACGTGCGAATCAAGTTGTACCGTACATGTTGCAATTGTAGCTTATTTTCAAACAGGAAGTCAAGTTCGACATGCAATCTGGCATATACATGATGCAAACATATTGCGGCATATTACATTAACATGAATTTAATACTACTTTCAAACTTTGGTACACTGTACAGTGGTTGAAATTTATGTAAATAAAGCTGAAAAATCAGTTCTCATTTTTTAAAAAGGTCAGTGAACAAGGTACATTAAAAAACGATAACATAACTAAACATTATATCACCGCTTCAGTATTATCATCTTATGTCATAACGTGCCAAGAAATGCTATACAGATTGTCATGCATGTACGATGTTATACATTTCCTCACGCAAGCAAGATATGACATCATATTTAATTAATTGCTGTTTATAAGCGCGTACGACTTATATGCACGGCCCGATTATCCATCTTCTATTGCGGCAGCATAGTAGTTCTGCCGGCAATGTATATATATCGCTGCAAGGTTTCTGTGACGGGAAGCTGACGACGCCCTAGATAATAGTGTACTCTCACCTTCCAGCTGCAAGGGAGCATCCGCGCTGGCTACTGGAGATGAAGCCAGCGGCGACGCCCACAATCACAAGAGCCATAGCTGCAAAACAAAACATACGGCTTGATGGCACAGCTGCGCCGGACCAAAACACATCAGCAACAGCGTGTAAGACGCAAAGATCGACATGTAAGGGCGTCAGTGCGTAGTTAGTCCGCAACACCGCCAAGGCCGGCAGCGCGCGCGCAGGAAAGCGATCATCTCGCCTCGCAAGCGTCGCGATCTCAGGCGCGCGCGTCTCGGCCGAAGAGATCGCGTGCCTCCTACCGGCGCGCGCAGAACCTTACAAGGCCCCACGCAGTGATCAGTATCAGCTTCACCTTTCATGCCGCCTGCGAGATCGTAATCCCCGCAGTTCGATTTCCATAAGCCGGTCCTACTTAGGACGAAATTACGCGCATCATCGCACTTTCGGAAGCGGGTCAACGAATGTCGCGCGCAACAAAGATTCGACTCACCGTGGCTCGAACGACGCCGCATCGACATGGGGGAGCACGATTACCGGTGTACGAGGAAGAGGTGTGCTAGGATAGTTGCCATTTGTTGGCAAACGGCATAGCAACCCGCAGCAGCCGAGGAAAGGAGCTGCAGGGATTACCACCACCACCACCACCACCGCCACGCCGATGAGCGGAGTTGCTAGGCTCGTGACGTTTTCGGTCAACGTCACATATTTTATTGACGACAACACGTGACGTATACACTTTTCGCTTCGCTCAGTGGGAGGCGCGGTAGCAGACGACGGAAACGCCGACGGGAAGGTAGTATTTGTGTTTATCTTATGACGCGGTAATTATCTGTCACACCTCATCCTTTCCGCTCACGTAGACATCGTTATTGAAAGAGCCGGTTCGTTCTCATGTTGTCGCGAGTTTTTTTTGTTTTTTTTTTTTTCAATTTCCTTTGAGAACGAGAGAAAGCGTTCTAGCAACGAGCGGGTAATTTGCGATGCGCTCTGTCCTAGCTAGGTCGAGCGTAGCACATGCCACATCTCTTGTTGCTTAGCGGTGTGCGTTCAGTCACGCATCTTTGATCTCCGAGGAAGTACATATATGCTTTGTTCCAGGTGGCTGGGCGCGCCGACCCGTTTGAACAAGTAGGCACTGTGTTTAATGTAGCACACACGCGCACCAAATATTTGTTTTCCGTTAATTACGTCATAGTCAAGCGACATACCTGAATTATTCGGAGTAGCAGTGCATCACCCTTCTCGTATTAAGAAAAAATATATATAGCAATATAATCAGCGTTCGATCTCTAACGTACAGCAAGCATACATACAGCAAGTGCAGAAAAAGAAAAGTGAAAGCAACTGCAGTACTAGACAGATATAGTTAGGAAACTGATTTAGCTTATTTTTTTCCTAGACGCATTTCTTGATCTAAGTTATGTGGTTACATAGCCTACTTGTACAGCGAGCGCTAAGCTCGAAACGAACTAAATAAAGCTTCGTACAAGAAATGGGCTATACGGAGTAAATTGCGGTAGTGGCACGGGCACCTCACGCCTTGCCATATAATGCAAGCGTGTGTACACCTACCCGCGACGTCCCACGTGTCGTGGCGCATACGTCGTCATCGTAAACCCGTACTACACGTACCTTGCCCACGCACCGTCAAGGATACTCAAACGCGACGTCCGAAACGAACGAGCCTCTAACAAAGGCCTGTCCGTTCAGTGAAAAAAATGGTCAAGTTTTTCTCGAAGTTCCATCTTCCCAGCTTCCGTAAGTTTTGGTTTCATTTTGAGCAGACGACGCGACAAAAATGTAGTGCGCAATTTCTCCCCGGCCCGTCAACTTGTCGCTTCGCTGCGCAACGCCTCAGATATGCAATTTTGTTTTTGACTTGATTTCGCACCGGTAGTACGCTACGAGGATCGCTGCATATGTAGTATTTATATTTGATTCCTTCAAGCCCCGCGAATGAAACAAGTTTTTTTTTTTTTTTCTCCGTTTCGCGCAGCGGCCCGGATTTCGTGGCTGATGCCTTTCCGGTGCCATTGCTTTTTCGCGCTTCTTCGCCAGTGAATCGGAAGAACGCGGCAACGTTCGCCACACTGCTATCAGCGGGATCAGTTGGCAGTGAACGATAAGGGAAGACATCGAATGTAAAATCGCGGCTGTCATATTTCTTCATGCGTGTTTTGGTCGCGAGCTTACTGGGTCGAGGGTGTGTTCGGAAAGCTGGAACAACTGCTACGCGCGGTAGCAGAAGAGATGCATCGAATTCTCCTTGAAATGTGACGAAAACGTGGATTAAACAGCAGCGTCCTTTCGGCTGTATGAGGTGCGTACATTTCGAGAGTGCCTGCCGCGCTGTTGTAGCACGTTTTTGCATGTCGTCATGGAATGATGGCACGGAAAGACAGATCGTGAAAAGCACGCCGTGCGGTCGCTTTCACTTTAGGCCTAGGGTTGACGTGAAGGCTACAGCTTGCTTTTGCGCGTGACTTTATCTCATATCTCGTGCGCTTCACGGTCCGTTCCCAAGAGTGGCCGTTAAAACTTCAATCGAAGCTCGTGGTGAAGGAATTTCTGAACTGGTGAACAACACGCGTAAAAGTTCTGTCGCGCCCACTTTGTTGCTGTGGCGTCAGCTGTTATTTTGAGCATCTGCCGGGGTCTCGTATCTGCAACTGAGTCACGGCCACGGGTGTGCTTTTCTTCATTTTTTTTCCCCTGCCTGTCTCGTCGCCAAAGTGAGCCTCCCGTCTCGCTGCGCCGATTGTTTCAGCCACTAGCTCTCAATACCACGCAAGACGTGTCGGATCAAATTCGCAACGTGACAGTCGATGTATGGAACGTCGCGAGAGAGGCACCCGAATTTTATTTGGCACAACTTTTAAGCTAACAAAAATAAAAAGTTTAGCCTTCTGACCCAGAGTTCGCGGGATCGAATACCGGCTGCGGCGGCTGCATTTTCGACGGAGGTGCAAATTCTGTAGGCCGGGGCGGCGTGCTCAGATTTGGGCGCACGTTGAAGAATCCCAGGTGGTCAAAATTTACTGAGCCCTCCGCTACGGCATCTCTCATAATCGTGTGGTAGCATTGGGACGTTAAACGCCACAAATCAATAATCAAAAGTCTATGCCTTCGTGCTTACTGCAAAAATACGGCACCTAATTTTTGTTGTTTATAAGTATTTTCATTCCGAAAATACTTATGGCTGAGCTTTCGTGTTTTGACGCTTTCTCGCGAAACCCACGGAACGGCCGCATATTTGTCGTGATAGAGAGCCTTACGATAGCCACAACGAGCCGTTTGTTTTACCTGGAGCTGCTTATTTGCCATGCCTTGCACCAGCTGTAGCTTACTGGTGGCATGTTACCTCGGGCGCAGTGCCATGTTTTTCTCTTAAGTGGCTTCGCTATTGCATTGGACGCCGGTCTGGCTCGAAAGAACTCGTGCGGCACGAGAGAATAGCCGGCGCTGCTTCTGCTGAAGCTCTGTCACAGGCCGCAGCGTTTGTTTTCGCTGCGGGCCGTTTTCTGTTGGCTCGTGGTTTGCGGCGTATGCAACGGCGAGAGCACACCTATTTTTGGGGCCGCCGCCCCTTCCTCATGCCTTGACATACGCCCCTCCCGCTTCCAAAGTTCTCGTCAAAGAACCTCTCACGTTCGTCGTTTCTATTCATTAATAGCTGTTAATTAAGCGTATAATCGTGCTTGGCAGGCACCCATGCTCTTGCATTCTCTGTAGCGTCAACAGACCCTGCAGCAGATAGGAAGTTGTGAAGTGGGTAATCTGCCGTGGAATTAATATTGCACTATATAATTGAATGCCTATTATGCCTATGCACATATTTTGCAGTACTCACGCCTTTCTGTAAACACCAGTTTAATAATTTGTTGTAATCTCAATCCAACAAATTACATATAGTTCCTAAGTAATTTGATCAATTCTGTCCATGTTCAATTCATCACACCTGAGGTGCTGTTATTTGGCCATCATTTCATAATGCATTTGTTTGCTGTATGCATGACCTCACTTTAAGGACCTGGTGGTACCTGAGACAAGGGTATCATGTATGCTGGCTTTAGTGAATAAACTATTTCAGGCACAGACAAGTTGATGGTCATGATGCTTCTTGTGTGACTGGCACGTTGTTATTGTTTACCTTCTCTTGTGGCTCATACCCACCATGGGGGATTGGCCAAGAATTGAGTAATGCTTTTCTGGCTTGCATCCTCTTATTTTTATTCTTCGTCTCTCGTCGTTTCCAAATGCAGGTAGTCTGGGAATGGACCACAGGTTAGACTCGAAATGGGTCTTGACCTCCAAAGATGGCACAGTCCACCCTCTTCCTGCAGGGATGATATTCATTGGGCGACAGGAATGCGACATTATAGTTGATGTAAGTCGCTGTCATTTTATGTAGACTTTGCATTGTACTGCAATGTTGGAAAAAAAATTGTAAATGCTTATCCTGAGCATTACTTGGATGTGTATATTAAGGATTCAAATATGTGTGAACTGACAAAATGGTAGCTGTGTGGCTATGGTATCTAGACACAAATAACCAATATGTTCCTTCTACCTTCTTTTCCTATCTATGCAGATCATTGAACGTGTGCAAATGACTGTGCAGACTTGTAGCGCAATAATATAATCGAATCTATAGCATTACACTCTTCAATTCAGTGAAAATTCAAGTGCAAGTACTGCATATTCATAAATGAACATACCTACCTGTACAGCACTGCTTGTGTGTGCGTGTATGAATGGTTCATACTTGCTCTTAATTAATTTTTGCCGAAATCAGCTACCAACTAGCCACACAACTTTGCTCAATCCACACTTATAGCTACAACCTGCTGGCCTGAAGGAAATTTCTCAGAGTTAGTATGAATTAACATGGCTCAGTGCCTGTTTTGTGCATATGCACTATGTCCTGCTGGCTTGTAGATGAAGCTGTTGTTCCTAGATAGAGTAGTTATTAATTTTATCTTATGGATTTTTATAGGGCAATCTATTCAGAAGGAAAGAAGTCAAATTTAAGGCCTCATTTTTCTTTGTTATAGATGCTATATTAACAACTAACAGACAAGGATGCCAAAGAAAGTATAGGGGATGTTACTGGTAGTAGTTATAGTGTAAATGTGAAAGAAGAAAAGTGGACAAAAAGATGACATGCTGCTGGTAAGTACCAAACCTGCAATCTTTAAATGATGCGTCCCATGCTTTACCATATGAGCTACGCATCAGATGCTTTATTCGAAGGTCGCATGTTCAGTTCCTGCCAGAAGCATGTTATCTTTTCGTTCACTTTTCTTTCTTCACATTTAAACTATAATTACTACCAGTAACATCCCTATACTTTTCTCAACACCGTTTTCAGTTACTTCTGATGAATAATCTAACTGAAGGCATGCTGTTATGGTGGGCATCCCTGAATTAAATTTGATTATCTGGGTTACTTGTCTGTTGTACACTGACATCTAGCAACAAAAGCCTTTTTTAGAGCGATTGTTGTGAGATCACAACCGGGGCCGATTGTGGCTCTGCAGTTGTCCGTGGCTGCCGCCAGTGTCCGCAGCTTCTATCACGCGAAGTAAGAAACAAACTTAATTAAAAATATTGAAGACAGACTGGTAATTGCACCAGAGT